GGTCCTATTCACAATTGCCATTTTTTCGCTATCTTTGGCGATCTATGGATAGAAACAACTTTTCATAATTTATTAATTTCTTTGCATAAACATAAAAAATTTAAGCATGCTTCTTTGTAATTTTTTCCTTATATATATATATATATATATATATATATATATATATATATATACATACACACACATTACTTGTCTTAATTATAGAAGTATTTAATGTTGAAAATTAGAACGTTATAATCTCTCATTAAATTTTTACGAAAAGCCCAGCCACAGATTCGTCAAAGGAGGCACCATTAAAACGGGAGAGCACATCTGATGCTCTTCTCGTTTTAGTACGGAGACTAAGTCGTTCCCTCGAGAGTTAGGTACCTCCGGGATCCTATTTCTGTGGTCCGCAGTTTCTAAAAGAAGTCGTTAAGAAATTTTTACTTCAAAGCAACATGCCTCAGCCACGTAAGCGAGTCGATTAAAAACTTTCCAACTTAAAATCGCATGAAAAAGTATATAGGTATCTATAAGTTATATAGGTATCTTTCCTTTTTGCTTCGAACACGCGACATTACGAAGACATTTGCATTGCGAATTGCAATGTGCGTGTGTGTATATGTATATGTAAAGGGTATAATAAGCTTAAACGTGGATTTTTTGTACGATATACACGTGGGTGTATAGGGACGACGATACGTCTCTCGATATCCGCTATTTGAGCAACAAGTGCGCCAAAGGAGGGGTTCTGGGAAGTACGTTACTCTTCGTGCGATAAACTTTGACACTTGAGGCCGTTAGATTAACGGGGAATAATCACTGTCAAGAGCAAAAGTAGCAAATATTAATAAAGCAACAGCTCCGATAGAACAGTTTTCGTAAACGAATACATTTTTTAGTGTTGATACAAATAATAATCTTATCTCTCTTTTTCTCATATCACATATATTATCATATCGCTACAAAAGTCCAACTAAAAAAAATTGAGTTTCCCAGAAAAGAGGAAAGCTATTTTTTGACTACTTGGTAGAAAATTATTGATTAATACATTCTTTTTGTCTCTCGATAAACATAAATATTATTTCATTAATCAAATAATATTTCTGCATATCGGCAAAAAGAATGTGTTCTTACCCAGATAAGATATGCATGTTGCATAATAAATGCATGTTGATACCTAAAAGACGTCTTTTGGATACTTTTTAGATACATAACTCTCACGTGTAGATAAACTTATTAGTGATTTAATAAGTATTGCTACACGTGTCTAATATCTTAAACATTTTCCTTGATCCAAACCTATAGTCACTGTTCAAAACCTTTCCCTGCTTAATATTCGAGCATGTAAGTGATAATAGAAAATTATATTTTTCTAGTGGTGTCACTTTCAAACAAAGTTGGAGGAAATTATTACACATTAATAATTCATTGTAGAGAGAAAGAGAAAGAGCGAAGACAAAAAGGTAAATAAAAAATATATATAGTATAGTGATTTTTAATTAATATTATTGCCACCGATTTGATTCATTTCAGCAATCAGGATACATAAAAGACATTTGTCAAAAATACTTATATATAAGTACTATAAATTCTTATATATAAGTATATATATATAAAACTACGTGATATTGACGTGTGTATGTATGTATGTATGTATGTATGTATGTATGTATGTATGTATGTATGTATGTATGTATGTATGTATGTATGTATATATGTATATATATATATATACATATATAAAACTACGTGATATTGACGAGACGACTGACGAGATTTAATAAACCGCATCGCGTCGAGCGCGAAGAAAATCTTGGCGCGAGATCGACCGACCGAGGATCTCTTCAGGATGACAGATTAAGAATTAATATCTCAAGAGTAGCCGGTGCCGCGAGGAATATTACCTTAGGTACTAAGGCGCGCGCACACGCGGAATGAAAATTCTCCGTTTGTCAGACTGCCAGAGAAAGAAATATCCGGAGGGAGGGCAGCTTCCCGGTGCCGACAGGGAATTCTTATTTCCTTTTCTCCTCCTCCTCCTTCTCCTCTTTCTCGCTCCGCCGCGTAAAGTACGTTTTGCTATCCATTTTAACCCCGGTATATTCAATATATACACCACTTCCAAGTCAAAGCCGCTTCCTGAAATTCACGCGGCACGCAACGAAAAAGAACTTCAGATGTATGAAACGACGACGGTGTCCTTGTTCTTCCCCTTTTTTTATTCCGGATCCTCCGAAAATGTATAGATTGGCCACCAAATGGATAAACAGTGGATTGCCATTTAGCGAAGTCGACATCATTGGAAAATATATGATAACGAGCAACAATTGGCAATCGGAGATTGTCAGTAGCAACAATTTCGGACATGGATAAGTCTTAAGTCAGGAACACGAGCCAAAAGATGTAGATTCTGTAATAACGAAAAAGATTATTATAGAAGAATAAGATTTTCTAAAATTTTCACATTTCGGAATCAACAATAAACTCTTTACAGATAAAGTTCGGTTTTCTTGCTGTACGCGGAACCTAAAATTAAGAAAACGTATACTATGACATCTGTCTCTTTTCGCTGTTTATAATGTCAAATTATACTCAATTTGATATGTTATTTTTAATTATTTCTGTAGGCCGCCACTGCTTCTACTCAATATGTCGTTAATTTAACTAAAATAATGAAATTAAGCTATTTAATTCGCAAAATATATTAAATTTGATCTCAATTTAATTTATTATTTACTAAAGTGCATGTGTTAATTTGGGCATCGTTTACGTTGGAAATATAAACCATAGAAATGGTAAATAAAAATTGATTTATATTTTTAGACACATGAAAAAGTTAAAACTAAGAAACTGTTATTTACCTCAAATGATTGGATTACCATTGCTTGTTGATATTTAACAGTATTCAGCTTCGTAATTCTGCATTTCCGTGTAATTTTTTTTTTTCATGTATATATTACAGGTTACAGGTTCATTTCGAGCCTTTTACGAACATATAGGGAAATTATACTGACTGTAGGCCGACTGAACGGAAATCGATCGACGACTGGTGATTAATATAAAATTCGCAATTTACAGTTTATTAACGCAAGCGACTCAAAAAAGAAAAAAAAAAGCGATGCGATAAGGTAGATGCACAGGTATTTTTTTCCGCCTAACGCGAGTCGTAACAACGCCGCGGGTAATTTCCGCGTTCGATGGAGATATTTAATCAAGTAGCGAGATTGATATTAAACACGTACATACGGGAGAGTAATATGTCGTAACACGCGACGCGAGGAAGGTGCACCGC